GGGCTGTGAACAGAGCCATCAATCCACGCTATCAATTAGTAAATAACAGATTTAATGAGAGCTCTGGAAGCCTGAGCGGGCTCCGGTCTGTCCTGGCTGGAAGATTCTGCAGTAAGGGTGCATAGTTAAAGCGGGAAACGGGAATTTAAATGAGTAATACGTAAAAAAAATATGTGATAAATCGGAATCACAGCTGTACCCAGCAGTTCGGTTTTCCCTGCTAACAAGTGGTATCAGGTGTGTCCGATTCTTAAATTACTCCCAGCAGGTGGGTTAAAAACTCATCTCTGGGTAAGAAATGGCTTCAGTGGGTGCCTGTTAATAACAAGTAGCTGTGTTTAAAAAAAAAGAAAGAAGTTATATTGGGGTTCTATTTGCTGCTATGCAACTTGTTAAAATAGTGAGAGGCTTTGGGTTTATTACAGGAAATGCACGTACGAATGAGCAGCCAGTTTATAGAGCAGACAKGGAGCTGTGCTTGCTACTACACAAAAATTTAAAAGATTTAAAAGGAGGAACCCTCACGATCAGAGGTTGGTGGGTCAYGAGCTGTAAAGAAAAGAGCAGAGATCCCTGGATTTCCTCTCCTGACCTTGGCTGCTGTGCTGATCCTGCAGGGGCTGCCCAGGGAAGGAATGAATTTGTGCATGGGAGAGGGGAAAAAGAACATGGACAAGTTACAACAGGAATGACAAGGAACATTTTAGATGTTTAGATGTTGCATCAGTTAAATGTCAGGTTGTGGTTTCTGATCCACTGACTCCACACAGCTGGCACAGCTTCATTTGGTTCATTTGTCCTTAAAAAGCTCCAAAATCCCATTCAATCTATAATTTTCTCTTGTATTTAATGATATCTTAGTGCTCCCATAATTTATTAACTCCTTATCAGCTCAGCTTTTGCCTAAATCATCAAAAGCAAAGAAAATTCATTTTGCTCCACTTACTCGCGGAAATCAAAATTTTTGTTCCTTTCAGGAACAAAAAAAGGATCCACAGAAAGTCAAATGAGGGGAAATTCCTTCTTTCCAGCACCAAATGTGTGTGTGACAGATTTGTGGATGGAATTTGGATAATTATGGAGTTCATGCAAGTTTTGTTAGGATTCAGAAGTTATGTCAGCATGACTGAGTTTGTGTTTTCAGATACCAGTGGAGCTTCCTAGAAGGAATTCCAGAGAATTATTTGGGTTGGAAGAGACCTTTAATCCCACCCCATCCATGGTAGGGACACTTTCCACTGTCCCAGGCAGCAATTCATTCCCAATATCCCATCTAACCCTGCCCTCTGGCACATATTTTTTAAAACAAAGGACATTTCTTGAATAATTTTTAAGCTTGTTTGCTGTTTGTTCCACAAAGGAAGAGCTCAGGCTCATTATTCAGAGAAGAAAGCCTAATCCAGGCTAAGCAGGGAAAGCTGATGAGGATAAAAGAGTTAATTTGATTTTTGTGGAGTGTGTGGTTGGCAACAATAAATGCAAATTTTGCTCAAGGCCACACCTCTGAGTGACTTCTCAGCCTAAGCAGCTGCTTGTGCTGTGGGCTTGAAAGAAAAACAGTGGATTTTATTGGGATTTTATTATCCCAGCAATTGCCAGAAAGGACCTGAAATTGGGTGTCCCGATAGTTCTGATACCAATCACAATCTTGATGAAAAAAATAAAAAATTAATCATGGGACACAGATCATGATTGCACTGTAAAGGGTTTTCCAAGCCCCTCTTCCAGATTTCCTGCCTCTTTAGTTCCCAGTGGAGATGCAATCCAGGCAGCTGAAATTTTCCTGCCTTGGGTGGTATCGGATTTTTGGCAGCAACTGCAGAAACACAAAAAGTCTGTATTAGGATTTGCAAAGCCCAGACACCTCTGTGAGATCTGTACTCTATGGTTAAACTGGGGGAAAAAACCCCAAAACACCCCTTGCGTGCTGTTTGGCTGAAGGGTGTGTGCTTTTCCATGTTTTTTCATGGAAATATTTAAGGTTTTTCCCTTTTTTTGGGCGGTTCTTTTGACAGGTCTCATAATTGAATCAATCCTATAAATAATATATATTAATTGTAGGGGTATAAGAATAAATGTTTCACCTTCATTCAGCTTTTGAGATAATAAATAAATTAATTGTATTGCTGGAAACAAAACCCTATGTCTTGTTTGGGGTAGCTGGAAGAAAATACTCCAGTTTCAAATATTTATACGTGTATGGGTATAAAGAGGGTGGTTTATTAGTGGCTTTAAAATGCAGAAATACAAAATAATCTTCATTAAACCTGAGGATACAAATTCCTTCTGGATTTTGTTGTGTCTCACACTGACAGAACACTCACACTCTGCTTGGGGTGTTGTATTTTTGTGGGTTCTTTTCCTCCTCTGGTTTAATTTCTGTTTTCAGCCACCACCTCATAGGGTTCCAGGAGGGAGTGGAAAAGGAGGCTGTGATTTAGGTTTAGCAGAAAAAATAATTATTAAAAATTGCTATTGGGGCATCTGACATCATGAAACCCAACTGAGGTGTTTTGAAACTTTGATTTAGCTTTTAATACAAAATACAACCTCCTTAATTGGTTCTGTAAAGGGTTTTCTGGAATATTCTGTGATCCAGAATGAAACCTGAGCCAGCCCGGGCTCTGCTCTCATTCTGATTCGATTGAGGGGTGATTTTGATTGCAGGGGTCATGATGCACATTTCTTATCAGACAAGCTGGGTGATTTGCTCAAATCAGAAA